TAAATTTAATTTCAATAAATAAAATTTTGTATTATAAATTCTAAAATACGTATGTATAGTTAAAGCTATTATTAAAACTTTATTAAAACTATTATTAAAACTATGATTAAAACTATGATTAAAACTATGATTAAAATTAGGATTAAAATTAGGATTAAAATTATGATTAAAACTATGATTGACATAACAAAAAAAATTTAATTGACTTTGTTATTGTAATAATTGTAATAATAAATCTTTGAATTCGAATACATTGAGTCATTAAATTCGAATATATTGTTGAATTCGAATATAATAAATTATTTTTGAACTTGTTTTTTAACATGACTGAAGAATCGAATTTATATTCAGATACATCATCGCAAGCTGACACATATTCGGAGGATATTAATCGTAAGCAAAATATGCTGGTCGACCAAGAAAAAAAAATTGTGAAGATTATATAACCTCATAGCGCATTTTGTTATTATTGTTCAAAGTCTTGGAGTTGTGGACGTCCCAGTAAAATGGAAGCTCATCTTGTTAATACATGTTCTAGAGTTCCTAAAAATATTGGCAAGAAACATTTTCTAAAAAAATTCGTTAATTACAAAAAAAACAAGACATTCTAAATTAGATCAATCAAATATAAATAATAATTCAGATGAGATATTGGCAGTACACGAACAAAATGAGATTGACAAGGATGTTTTAAAAGCATGGATTGCAGCAGGAATCCCATTTGACATTATTAATAATCCATTTCTATTAAACGATGCTATAATTCCAAGCATCGACGAATTATTATTTCAATTTGATCATAGTTGATTAATCAATTAATAATACGCTCATAATTTCGGAAACAATTGATATTGCTAATTCGTCATTTTACTCTGGTCAATTGCAAGTTAATACGGCAACGAACATTAATCTTGTAGAAAACCGTCTTGGAAATATAGATTATAATATGGAAGATCTAGTAAATCGATTATTTGAAATGATTTAAATATTAATTACAGTACAATAATATGCAATAGTTATATTGATATATAAATTTCTGATACATATAAAATGTATACAATTTATTTAACAACGAAATTAACTTTATACAGTATTACGGAAGTTAAATAGAAAAAATTCGTATCGTAATAAAGTAATAAAAAAAAACAAAAATTATTTTACTTTAAGTTGACATCGCTATCATTTGCCTAGTATAAAAAAAAAAAATTTTTTTTCTTTAGAAAAATAGCAAAGCAAAAATTTAGTACATGGTGCACTATAGTGCATCTTTATAATTGATTTACAAAATTTATATATAAAGCAAAAAATAACTTTGATTTACTTTAGGGTTAGAGCGAGGCTTAAGATTTTATCTAGGTAGTAGTGTATGCAAATTTTAGCAAGGAATTTTTTTAATTAGAATCCCAAAGGCAGTTTCATAGGCGAAATTTTGAGATATTAAAGTTTTTTTAAAAA